TGATCTCCTGTGGAGGCAGGGAGCACACTGGGAAGGAAAAGGAATAGCTGATAATGGCGGACAGCTTTCCTGTGATGTCTTTTTTATGTTGTTCATTCTCTCTTGGCCTCTCTTCTCCTTTCCCCTTTTCTGCACCCCCTCCCATCCCACCACTGGCCTCTTTCCACATACACCCTCACCTCTGTCCTCCCTCCCCTCCTTGGTCTCCACCTCCATCTCCCCTACTTCTTGGTCCCCCATCTGTCTCTTTTACCCTTCTCCTTGGCCTCAGCCTCTCTCCTCTCCCTCCATAGCCCCTAGGTCTCTGCTCATCGCTTTTTTTCCTCTCTTGGTCTTAATTTCTTCTCAGCTTATCTGCCTTATCTCATCTCTGTCTTTCTTTTTTTGTCTCTCTTTTTCTAGTCTTGCTCAGTCTCTAGGTCTTTCTTTCTTGGTCTCAATCGTATCTTCCTCTTCAATTTTTTGTCTTCATTTTTCTCTTACTTAGAATGAGGCGTGGGTTTACACTATAATTGGAGTCTCTCCCTTTGAAGTGGTATGTTCTGAATAGGCAAGGAGGTGAGGATGTGTAGTGAGGCTGGGGGGATGTTCATTGGCTGCAGAACTTCCTGGGGGCGCTAGTCTTGGGTTTTGCACATACTTCATTTTCAACCCCTTCCTATTTTCAAATGGATTTCAGAACCCTGTGAACTTGGCAGAAATGTAGTATAAAGGGCCTCAGATAAGCATCACCTGTACGCTGCAGTCCTTTGGAGGGCGGTGGTGTCTCTGGGAACGGTTTACCGGGTTAGGTAAGTGGGTCAGGAAGGGGAGTAGAAAACAAGGGTCTGCGTGAGCAATTCCAAAATAAGAGTATCTGCACCATAAGGACAGGATTTTCTTCTTCATTTTTGGAAGTGTCTTTAGGTCATTTTGGACAGGAAGTATGAATCAATAAATGACAAACTATCCATCTTCTCCTCAACATGTATAAAATAATGCTTTGCCCATGACAGGTGTTCAGTAATGTTTAATAAATATGAGTTAAAGGGCATCTTTGAAAATCTCTTTTACCTTCCCGTGTATGTGATATGGATGCTACTTCACTCCAGATCCTCAGCTTGTGATTTTTGCAAAGAAAGCATCTGATTGAATAAAATAGTATTTAGGCTTCTGGGTAGCTATTTCAGCCTCCTCCTGATTCTTCATTGCTTGGTCTTTGGCTGTCCATGCAGAGGATTTAGGAGAGCTCAGAGCTGCAAGTGATGATCTGCGTCACACAGATGGCTGGTGGTTAGTTTTAAGAGAGAGTAAAACATATGCCCTGTGCTGCTTGGTCTATAGTTGAGGAAGCTGTGTTTTCACTGCTGTTGGGAAGAGAGCTAGCTGGGGGAGGGATGGGGTAGATGAGTGTTGGTTATTTTCCCATCCAGCTTCTCCCTTTCGAGTGACCATTCTCCTTGACATTACATTTCAGTTTTGTTTTTAAGTGTGAGACCTTCTGATTAAAAGTCATACATATGCATGATGGTTTATCCTGATTCTGGTACATTATCATAGCTCTGGAGTGTCGTTTCTTGGAACAGATGAGATGTGGAGTAAAGAATGTGGTATCTGAGCATCCAGGCTTAGCTTAAATTCTAGGGAAGGAAGGAATATTATGCTTCTTTCATCTTTTGAATGTCCTGATTACAGATTTTTTTCTTTTTTTGGCCCACCTGCTCTGTAATAGTCTGTTAGTTGCTTCCACATTACTCTAGCAATCTTAAGGGGATTGGATGAAGGTTTCTCTATTGTCCCCTACTCAGGCCAAGCATTTGGTTTGTGGAATAAAGCATAGACCATCTAAACTTGGTCAGGTAGAGCTGCCTCAAAGGCACCTTGCAATAATTGGTGTTTTCGTAATAAGCTCTCTAGGGACGGTGTCTAAGAATCCTCTAGACAGGCTGGACTAGTCTCCTTTCCTTCAAAGCCCCCCTCCTTTTTTTTTTTTTTTTTCCTGTAGTGATGCCAAATAGGAGAAATGGGAAAGAAAGGAAAATTACTTGGAAGCTTGACAGTCCTGGTAGAATCATAAGTGTACTTTCAAGGAAATAAAACACCTACGTCAAGGCAGTTCTTTATCACTGTTTCACTGGCATTTCACGTACCTCCTTGGAGCTCATGATTGAAACAGTTACTTAGGCATATATTAAAGGAAGCTGTGTGATGTAAACAACTTTATTTCTAAATAAACCAGATAACCTCATATTACCTGACCTGGCTAAAATTGCTCCAGAATGAAATCCTCAAATATGCAAAGTACATCTGGCTGTGCTCATAAAATAAATAAGCTTTGCCCCCAGGCCTGCATTTTTGCCACTCTTCCAATGGACATGATGAGGGCGGTATTAGGCATTCTTTAATTTGGGTGTACAAGATCATCGTTAAATCCCCACTGTAGCCTCCCTTTTGGTAGGCTGCTGCTGTTGACTTCTAAAGCCCTGATTGAGATTGATAATGGGAATCACAGAGTTTTCACATACTTAACAGAAACAATGGTTGTTGAGCACGAGTGTCCTCTGTGGACCTTCGTACCTTTGCTGTATTTCTTTCCCTCTTATCATTTAAGCGAATGCTTTAAATAGGAGAAGGATGTGTGAGCGTGTAAGTCTAAGAGGTGACTATTTATAAATGGTGTGATTAGTCTAATTCCTTAGTGGTCACATAGACGGTTTGGGAAATTCAGTGATGAGGAAACCTTAATACCCTGTGCTTCTTTTGTATCGTAATATCTCTCTCCAAAAAAGATTAAACAGTTTAATAGATTTCTTTAGAAATTAACTTTGTGATGTATGTACATTCTGTGAAAAGTATTGGTTATTATAAACATACCAAAAAAAGTTCCTGGCAATGCAAAAGTAAATCAGCAAGTAAATAAACCAGAAATCCACAGGGTCCCTGATGGTTCACAATCTTTTACCTTCTATTGCTTAGAAAAATCGCCATTTCAAATCTATCACTGCTTTCCATATACTATGTGGTGTATTTAGTAGTAAATAACTAGGTAACCATTTCATCCACAGCTGGGCTTTGGATTAAGTCACGATGGATTTTTTTAAGAGAGGCACTTTTCACACATTACTTTTTCTCCTCTGAGAAAGTACAGCCTACATTATGAGTTCCTTTGCTGTGGCCACCCCAGGCCATGATTTTGTTCTCATGCTGTGAAAATCCATGTTCCATTTTTGGAGTTCATAACTTTTGCTTTCAATCTTTTCTGAACTCTTTTAGTCACTAATGGTGTATCTTGTTGTCTGCCACTAAAATTTAAGAATATGTAATAAATTAAGGATGGTTCTGCATTGCCTCTTATCTGACTAGCATCTGTGGGTGTCAGCTGCCAACAAGGAGCTCAGGTGTCTGGGCCACTCCTGAATACTCACAAGCTGACACACTCTCTTCTGATAAAAGGTACCTTCAAATATGCATGCGATTTTCAATATAAATTTTGTATGCTTAAACACTTCCCGTAAGAGAATTGCTCAACCTAATAAAATGAGTTGGCTGGGACTTTTAAAAGGCTGGATATAAATATCGCTAGAAATTATATAGCTAGCATAAATACTTCACTCTGAGCTTTGCTGAGCATTTTCAGAATGCTTCTGATCACATTTGTGAATATAGTGAAACCTGAGCTTGTACCAGAGGAAGGGCGTTTGGGGGAGGGGATGGTTAGTCAAACAGGGTTACCAGTCCTCCCAGGGGAACTGTGAAGTCTTGGCTAATCTCTGTCGTGGTTTCAGTGGTGAAGAAGGAAGGGTTTTGTTCCATTAGTTCTTAACTAGTCAGCCACCCATGTTTTGATGATATGTGTACGTACCTCATCTAAAAATCTGCATGTTTGAGTTCAGACATATCTTGTTAAGATTGTCGTGTTCAGACAGAACACATACTGTGTTCTCCAGAGAGACAGTATGTCTGTGTGGACAATAAGACAACCAAAATCAAAGTGTTGTCAGTCTTTTGTATTTTAATGGAATATTTTATTCTCCTAACACTGTGCAAGATGCTAAAACATCTCTAAGAAGAGATTTAATAGAGTGAAGTATTTATTTTATTGCTTTAAAGCTATTCAATGTAGAGAATGGTTACTGTAGTTGGTGGTGGTGGGTGAGTGGCGGTGGTGGTGAATGTTGACCCTAAGATGTGTTATGTTAAAAAGCTGATGTCCTTCTTTAAGGTCAAGAGATGACTTTTCTTTTTGCATACTCCTTTTTATTTTGTACAACATTGGAGCTCATGAAGAGAAAAACAAAACAGCGTAATACACCATTTTTCTTAATGTTGTTTCTCATTTGCTATTTTATTGTCCAGCTTTTAATTTTATAATGAGATCTTGATGCCAGGTTTCATGTAAGGGACTAAGCTGTCATTAATTGATTAGAATCCACTGTGTTGGTGTCTTTGTTCTGTCATCCTGCTTGTCTGGTAGATCAGAAAGCGGGATGGTTTACAAAGGAGTCATTCAGGTAAGAGAAGGGTGGGTTTCAGACTAATTGGTGTGGATACTAACTTTACAGTGCTGATATGGTGTTTGTTTTATCATCATTTTCCAAGACTTCCTCCAAGATATTTCTTTGTTAGTAAGAACTCAATATTTCTCTCTCTGTCTCCCTTCCTTCCCCTTCCCTCCCTTCCCCTGCCCTGCACAAAACACCAGCCTAATAAACATAAGAGAAAATATGACCTCTCCCTTTGTCCTGATCTTGAATCTGCACTTTTTAAATCAAATCCCTCGCTGCTGTCATTGCATCTCTCCCACTATATACAGATATATACTCCAGATGCGATAAATCATTCAGATTTAGCAGCTCTGCTCTGCATCTGACCTGATGGCTCCTATACGCCTACTTCCACCACAACTAACAAATGGTGGTGGTTTATTTTGGGGCAGGTATAAAAAGCTGTGTCTGCGGCTGTATCAGCTAAGAACTGAGATTGCCATGTAATGTGGCCTCGTTTCTTGTCTCCTTGCCCAGACTGCTCACCAGAAGCTCAGCCCAAATATGTTAGAGGTGGTAAGCGTTACGGACGAAGGTCCCTACCTGAGTTTCAGGAATCTGTGGAGGAGTTTGCAGAGGTGACAGTGATTGAGCCACTAAATGAAGCAGCACGGCCTTCACACATCACAGCCAGCGACTGCAATGAGGTAAGAAATTGGACAGGCACGTTCATCTTGATCACGAGTGTGGTTACCCATGTCATTGTGGTGCAGACACAAAACAACTGAGGGATTTATGGGATGAGATGGACCAACCACTTGCTAATAGTATTACTTGCCTTTTGGACATGTATGGCTAATCTTTTTATTTGAATGTTTTCACCTCTGTTTCAGTTTTTAGAGATCTGATATTTCTCTGTGTGCTTTATGTTTATACATTTTGAATTCAGTATTTTCAAGATACCTGGGATCTGCTACTTCTGGCTCTTTTTGCGAATATTTCTGGCCTCTATGACACTATCATTTTTAGTTATGTAAAGTGATAACCAACTATCCCTCTTCCCCACACACTACAGAACAGTGCCCATGACAGGTAAGAAATGAAAGAATGTTTTTCCGGCATTTTGAGAGCCTGCATCTTGTCTTTCGTGGTGAGACAAAGCAGCTGTAAAGTTTGGTTTGTGCCTCAAGATACTGAGCAAGGGCACCTTCACAGTGCTGGGTAGTTGCTGTGCTTCTTACAGGTTCTGTCATATCAGGCAGGTCTCCCACATTCAGAGATTCTCCAGCCTCTCATCTCCCTTCCTTGCATTTTGCACACTGCCACAATCTACCAACAAAGAAGAGGCAGTACCATTTTCTTTTTTCTCTCCTTACGGCTCATTTAGCAGCATCCCATTTATAGAACACGGCTGAAAGTGCCATGCTGAGCAAGCTCTAAATATTTCTTGCGAATTCCAGCTCAGACTGCAGCTCCAAATATTTCAGATACTAATAACAACTGGAAAAGAGACAAAGTGCCTCAACTTTCTTATAGTTGTCTTGGATTGTAGGTTGATCAGAGTGTGTGTCTGTGAGAGAAATTGCTGCTAAACTTTCAGATTCAGCTTATTAAAACCTATAGGAAGTTGGAAGCCTTGGTGGTGCAGTGGTTAAGAGCTCAGCTGCTAACCAAAAGGTCCACCGTTCAAATCCACCAACTGCTCCTTGAAAACCCTATGGGGCAGTTCTGCACTGTCCTATAGGGTCCAAATTGACTCACCCACAACGGGTTTGGTTTCAGTGGGATATAGGAAGCTTACTACCAGTAATGTTCCCAGTAATCAGACACCTAGCATCCTCAACTTTCCAGAATAGCCACAAACCTAAAGATAACTGGAAATATCTCAAGTGTTGAGCATAAATCACACTGGCAATAAGTACTGAAAATTAGAAGAACACATGACTGATCTGCCAATCAGAACAAGTTTGCAAGTTTTTTAAACAAATGATACCTGTCCTCACACCAGAGGAGAGGAGAGGAACAGTGACAGAAATGTGAGCGAGAACAGAGGAAGAAAAGCAGCAGGAGGAGAGGAGAAATGGAAACCACAAAAGCAGTATGATATCAAGGTGGGTGGGAAGTGACTGCAGGAAACAGAAACACCCATGAGAAGCAAGAAGGAAAATGCTGCTTACAACATCACATACCCCAGACTTACGAGAAGTTAGAAGAAAAATGCCAGACTTAGTCTGTCTGGGGCAGCGGCTGCTTCTCCACTGTGGGTGCAGTCCATTTCAGTGATCCCTCACTTTTCTTGGGTCCCTTTGAGAATTGAGATAGAGACATTTCCCCAGAAAACCACATATGCTCACATGCACAAAAATTTTACATACAAAATTTTCAGGAGGCAAGTAGTTTGCTTACTTCAGCGAGTATGATGTTCGTAATACTTGTCTCACTGTAGGGCAGGGTATCATTTTTTTACCCACAGTCTGTTTCATAACTCTGGGTAATGTGCAGTGTGTTTGAGACACTTTTCTATGAAAAATGGTTAAGATATGTTTCAACACTTTAGGGCGTAAGCTTTTGTTATCTGGAAAACACTTTTTAATCTAATATCTCATTTCCTCAACCATTTTCAATACTTGAGGCATTATTATTTGGTGATAAGAAATTAAACGATTATTTATTTTTTGATACTATGGTTTCTAGTCACTCCCTGAAAATACCCAGAAAGTTCTTGAACAGAGCTGACTTTATTGCTGGCAACATATTTCTCCTATCCTTGTTCTTATCTACCGCCTCTTAGTAAGATTTTCTATTTAAGAGATGAGACTTCGGTTTCATGTATAAATAAAGATAACATTTGAGACCCAAGTGTGGACAAAGTCTTGCTGCATGTGTCCTATTAAAGGGATACTTTAGGATAACCATTTCACCCCTGATGTACTACAGATTCCCATAACCCCTCCAGGAATCTCTAAATATGACCTCTTGATGCTATGTTCAGAAGATTTAGTGTTCAGCCACCCACCATCAAAGAGCTGTAGGTAGAGGCATGAAGAGGGTCATTTCTCTCCATTTCTGTTCTTCTGAGGACCCCTACTGACTCAGCTTTGATAGTGTGCTATACCCCACACTAGAAAGGCTGTAAGAGTGCCAGAAACTCCTTTTTACCCTATTTACATTGCCAAGGCTCCTCTAACTGCCTCTTACCTAAAAATAAAATGTTTTGTAAGCTCAGTTGAGTCTGTCAGTTTTTTTTAATTGATTCATCTCTTTATAAGATTAACAACTTCATATTTGACCTTTTCAGTGTTCCTATTGGCAGTAAAAAGGGCAAATCCCACCTTTGTGCGGTAACTCTGATCATAGGTCACACTCGCTGCTTTCACCAATGCATATAGTCTGACAGTATTGTTTTATCAACTACTGTGTCAAGATAGCATTCCTGTTTCTATGCCAGTTTCCACAGTAGCTTCAGCAGTTTAAGGTGCTCAGTTGGCAAACAGCAGTTCACATGCTGGGCACCATGGGCTCGCTCTAGAAATTCCTATCCCTTCTACAGAAGCGTCTAGCTCTCCTGGGATGCCACATAATCGTCCCCATCCTGGAGTAGAGGAGTGCACTGTTGCCCCCCAACTGGACGGTGTGGGGAGGAAAAAATACTCAGTGACTGTGGTGTTTATTCTTAAGGGAATAAGAAGTTCAGGATCGGTCAAGAGTTCTTTATTGTACTGTTGGTTTCTTTTTTTTTTTCTGCTCTGCTTTGGTTGCCTGAGGCCTTTTGTCTCCTGCCCTTGGGTGTTGAGAATTTATTCCTTGGGTGTATTGTTTGTTGTTCGTAGCTCACAGTTCACCTCAGTGCCACCAGACAGGATTGAAGGAGGCAGCGGGGCTAGGTCTCCCCTGATGTGAATATTTTCTAAGGAATAGTCAGATGCGGAGCTGGAGGCAGGCCTTCTTAGTTTTGATTGTGGGTTTTCCTTTGAGTCCTGGATTCTGGCTTAGGGAAAGGAGGAATTCCTATCTTGCCTTTGGACTGCGGTTTCTCCTGCTCAACAACATAGCCAATTTTTCTTAAAGAAGCTTTGGAGTTTTTTTGATGAAGACAATGAAAGGATCCAAACCTGTGGTTGGAAGTTAAATGAAGAGGAAGCCTGGCCTTTATTATACAAACTGGAGACTAATTATAGCTCTAGGATAAATCAAGTAATCATTTTATTTATTTGAAGACTTGGGGTGGGCAGTGGAATGAAATGGTGTCACAAGAACCTGTTACAGCTGTCCCTAGGGTGGCTCCCTTCCTTCTAGGATCTCATCATCGTGTGAGGAAGCCATCACCCGAAGATACAGAATAATAATTCCTCCCCTCTTTCCCTCTAGGGCTATTCCAGAGTAGGAGAGGTTGCTACAGGTTGACAGAATTCATACCTAGACTCGTGGGATAGTGGTTCACAACATTGTTTTCTACATCGTTATTTGGGATGCCCCTTCCCATAAGCACGGCCAAAATGATAGGTAATTTTCAGCAGTCATAATGCTCTGTACTCTACCTGTAACCCTTCCCCATCAAGAAAACAATGAAGTGCAGGGGAGTGAGAGTGATGCCATTATAGAGATCACTTTGAACCAACTAAATTTATTTTTAATGTAAATCCCTCATGAAGCTTCAGGGTTCATTAGTTGCAAATGATTGGAGCCCGTCTCATGACTGTTCAGGTCACACCATTGTGATATGCCACTGTGGAGGAGAGCCCACCTTGTTCTATGGGATAACAGATGCTCCGCTGCCTCGGCCTCATCCCCTGGAATAGAATGTATGGAAATAAACTTTGTTATCAGGTAGTTTTTTTTTTTTTTTTAAATCATGTTCGTCTTTTGTTCCAGGTTATGTATGTTAAAGCCCTAACGTAAATCGTAAGCTTTTTAATAGTCTGCATCCCACCCTCACCCCCAGTGCTTTTATCCAGCAATTTAATTCTTTCCTGCTGAAACAGAAAATATCTAGCCTAGCTATTAAGCATGTCTCCCCCACCGTCTTTAGTTTACAAGGCAATAAAGCCATTCCATAGGAAAAGGCACTGTAATCTTGCTAAACTTTCAGTTCTGAAATGTGTATTTCAGAATTTCGTTTGGAAATCCTGAAGCAGAATGTGCTAATTCACGAGTGACAGGTAGGTTCCGCCATCACGCTGAAATGTGCATTGGCGTCCAGTTTAGTGTGTTTATCCAACAAATGGGTCCCTTGGGAATCTGACCCTTCATCTAGGTGGTATTGAAAGAAAAGCGGCGTTTTTTTCTTTGTTCATGGGATCATTTTCACTCAAGGCAATTCAATTGGACGTTCTATTCTGAATTAAACCAGACTAACAAAGGACACATTCTTGATTGTAACTGAAGGTGTGATTAATGAGAAGGATTTGGTTGTCATTTTTTTTTTGCTTAGTTAATAAACAGAAGTGAATTTTTAGGCTCAGGAGAGGTGTTTTTTGTTTTTTGTTTTTCTTTTAATGAAGATGGCTTTTATATGCAATGGCTACTCAACTGACCTTGAATTTTATGCTCAGGTTTCTTTTGAGAGTAGGTGGAAGGAGAAAAATAATTCTCAATTCTACCCTCTATTAGTCAGACCGTGGAGGAAAGGTCACACAATTAATACAACTGGGGCAGGGCCACTTCACTTTTTGCCCTGGTTGAAAACAGGGGACACCTTGTTAACTGT